ATCTTGACTAAAAAAAACTTTTCTCCTTAATTGCTTAAGAATGCCTGTCCGCAGTGTATTGATTTTGACATTTTCACATTTGAAGCATGTAGAATACATAACTTAGCAATGCACTGGCTTAGTAACCTCAGATTTGGCAGGGAGGTTGTCCTTGAGCTCTAAATGGCCACTGTTGATTCTGACAAAGTGGTATGCGGGGGTATTCACGCCATGACAGTGGCAGTTCTAGTTTATCATATTTTTTACACTTTTAGACCTTCATGACATAGATTGATGAAATCTTCCGAAACACATCTCTAGTAGCACTCCATACACATGTGCATTGAGTAAGTAACCAAAATATATTCAACGTATCTTTAGTCTATGTCACCCTTTACCTGGTAAATTTATGAAATGGTTTTTCTCAGCAGTGAACCTGAAATAGTTCATTTAAAGTTTGAGAGATTGCTATTAGATATTTAATGTAATTGTACAAATGAGCTACCTGAGTGAGCAAATGGTCAGTCTGTATGGATGTGACCAGGTTCTGTACTTCTGGTCTCTTTTATGGTCATTAGGCCTGTTAGTTTTGTAAACGTCTATAGTAATACCTAGCATAAACTCTTCCGGTAGATTAAGATGTCTTCCCATACAAGTTAACATATAATAAGAAACCCTTAGAGTAGGGTAAATCTTTACCCCAAGGGTTATAATTTATTTAACTTTAGCAGAGGACAATAAGGTTATGCTTTTACAAGTTTTGGGCATTATAGTTTCTAAGTAAAATATCTTTTGAATATAAGTTACTTCCTTATATTAGAGAAAAAAATTAATTAAATAAATAATCCATTTTCACAGAAGTTCACCAGGCAAATTGCTACAGCCAAACATTTGTTTTGGTTGGGTTTCACATCACGCCAACACAATAAAAGGCATATGGAGACTTTCAAGTTTTACTGGTGCATTATTTCAGGCATAAAATATACAGACACTTCTTCTCTTTTTATTGTTTTTTATTATTTTTATATTCAATTTATTTGAAAACTTAGTTTGTTGTTCTTATTTTCTAACAAGGTCAGACGTGGGCAGCATGTTCACAAATAATAATTTTATTTCAGGAAACAATTGTCAAATTGTACTAAGTTACAATATGCAATCAAAATGTTGAAAGTTTGCCAAGATCTAATTATCATATATTTCTTAATAAGTTACGAAGAAAATACATTGACTATAGGTCGCAAATAACTTGATTATATTCGCCGATAAAAGGCGTTAAACCTGTGTAATAATTCTGTACCATATAAGAAAAAAATCACATTTTCCGGCGTTACCGCGAAGCACAATTCACGTACATCGGCGTTACCTCATAAAAACGGCTTGAATCACATTTTATCAGTTTATTTTCAATTTTCTATATCACAAGAAGTTAGGTTTATGTCACTTGCCTACCGAAAATCGAAATTATACGGAATAATATGCATTGTTGTACTTATAAGAGCCGACAAAAAGCCAAAATCTCGCTCAAAAAGGTGGTCAAGCCATCATTTTCACAAATGATCTTGTAAGTTAACAATTTCGTGAAAATAATCTTGATGAGGGATAAAAAGTTATGTCTTCGCAGCCGTATGCAGCTATTCATTTTTTTTCAGTTCGGTTAAATTATAAATAAGAAATATTTTAGCCAGTTTACTTACCGTGTTGGAAATCCTGTCAGGTATCCGCCATTTATTGCACAATTCTGCGTTACTTATTGCACGAATCGTGCGTTATTTTCACATTCCGGCGTTACTGGATATACACGGTGTATTAACTAAAACATGGCAGCCGATACACTATTTTTTGCCAAAATAATTCAATTTGTATATTTTGATATAAATTCAGAGCTGGTTTTATCCATTACAAATTTAGCAGCTTACATATTTATTCTCTAAATCTAGAAACAGTTGGGAGTTGGAAAGCATTTGGCTCAAGGAAACAATGGCTTGTCCCTGTCAGGGTTGGAACCCACGCGGTCAGCAATCCTTAGATTGTTAATCCTTAGATTACTAGTCCGACGCCATAACCACTCGGCCACGCCGCTTTTCTACGTATATGTTAGTGTACAGCCGTGCTGTTCTACAGAAATTAGAAACTTCGACGGGAGCGATAGCGACCGGAGAATGTTTCTAATATCTGTAGAACGGCTACGGATGAATACTAACATATTTGGTGTCAAACTTTATTATGCCTCATTAATATTCATTTTATTACGTCACTACCAGTCCGTTTTATTAATTAATTACCTGAATGGTCGGTTTAAATTTGACCTTATAAATATGCATGATTTACGTCACTTTACGCGCGAAGACGCATGTACCCCTTGTAATAGGAAGGGCGGCATATGGATGATGCGAGTTTCCGTTTGCCCGATATTGAAACCTTTATTTTCGGAAAACATTTTTGATGAGTTTGATGATTGTTACCTGATATCATTTATACACTTTGATTAATTGGACAACTGATAATCAGTAGCTAATACCTTATATGATTTATACATGTATACACTAAATATCACGTGTTAACACGAGGTCACGTAATATATTTTCAAAAAACATAATGTCTACTTTCACCTTTTGTCTACCAAAAAAAAAATGAATAGACACATGTGACTTTCTTCTAAGTCACATATTAATTAAGACCTTTTTCTACTTTCGTAATAAAAATAATGATTGGCATTTTGTATTGGTTTTTACTTTTACATATGCAGTATCTTTTTATTTAAATCTGAACTGCATATGCAGTACATCAATAAATGCAAAATTTATGTAGGTTGACCTTTGACGTCATTTTTACTTAATTAATATTCAAAAGCGTGCCACGAAAGCGGCTGCGCATGTGCAAATTTATGCAAATGACTTTTTTTACAAACGCGGTTCTATGAACCACTATGAAAAATAGAAGGCGACTATGAACAGAATTTGATATAGTATCGACTTTTGTTCTTCTATGAAAATTAACACTCATTATTTTGAAGAAATACAGCTTTTCCATTGGATGACAAATAAAGTTGAACACTAACCGCGTAGTGACGTAATAAAGTGGATAATAATGAGGCCAAATAAAGTTTGACACTAAGAATGTTAGTATTCATCCGTAGCTGTTCTACAGAAATTAAAAACATTCTCCTGTCGCTATCGCTCCCGTCGAAGTTTCTAATTTCTGTAGAACAGCACGGATGAACACTAACATATACATATAATTAATTGTCGTAATAAACGTTTTACTATTTTCTAAATTTCCGAAAATAATTAATTACATGCATTAAAGTGCTCAAATTGAAATATTTATTATATTTTTAGTAAAAACGCACATTATCATAATGTATAATTACTAACATTCTAACATACATTTTTTACATTTTATCACGTTCATGCATTTTAAAGTGTGTAGCTTTATCAATTATTCTAAAGCAACAATTAAAGGCATCTAAAGTCTTAAAATGCGAATATTTTGTTCAAGAGCTTTTTATTTTTGGTGTGCTGCTAAGTTCCAAAACTTCACACATTTGATTATATATACCCGAGCCATCGTTTGCTCTTTATTTGCGTTTAAGTCATCAAAACACTTTTAAACAGTGATTTACTAAATTATATTAGAGTCAAACTACAACAAATGCAATTTATTTTCATTATCCTACCCAGTCCGTGCTTTGTCTTGTGCCCTGTCCTGCTTTCGTTTGGCTTCTTGCCGGTGGTGCTGGTTCGTGTTGGCGTTGCTTTCATTACACGACGCCCTTCCTTTAAGTCATGATTTTCATATTTTATCATAAATTATTACGCATTCATTGCTATTCACTTCGGGGTAATATGCATCTCGCATGTTCTTAATTCATTGTGTTTTCTACAGGATGGAAAACTATAAAAACCTGAGGCTTAATTTGCCTTTAAGTTAATGTAACTTATTATACAGAGATTATGACCTCATCTTACATCAAAATACAAACTAATTAAACCTTTATGACAAGTATATCTTCCTCTTTCATTATTGTTGAATGTGGGTCAAATTCATAAACGTTAATCATTTGAACAGGATATTCCGCACGTTTTAGAGAGGATCTACTCCATAAGTTAGTGTAAATAAATTATTGAAACAAACCAATTAATATTTATACATTTTTGCTTATGAAAATCTTGATTAATTACTAAAAATATTTTGGACATATTGAAGGACATTTTACGGCATCAAACTTATCTTTATAATGATGTATTTTAGGAATAACCCCAATAGCTTTAAGTGCAAATTTCCGGAAAATAAAGTTTTTAGAGCACACTTGTTATTTCAAAGAACATTCAACAGTACACAAAACAAAAATGTATAAATGTACTTGATATAATATCGATATGAAAAAATGTAGTTCAAACTTTCAATGTTAGTTCCATGCCTAAAAATCGTTCTCTTTCCTGCTCTGTCAGTCATACAGTCTAAACCTGTTTGTTGGGTTTTTTTTAACAAAAACTATAAACATTTGAATAATTTTCACTTAATCACACAACACAAAGCGTGTATATACGTAACGCATGAATGTGAAAATATTCGTATACGCTAAAATAGAGAAAATAAGATTTATTACTTGAAAATACATTGCTCATTACGGCCACATATTGCACATATTCGACGTTACTATCACACAATACTTACATTATTTTCACATTCGTGTGATATTTTCACATTCCTGCATTACGAAATATACACGGTGGATATGGTTATGTTATATAAATTCATTGGGATTTTAGTTCATTTTTTTACCAACAAGTCTTCCTGGTCTGTTAGCAAACAATTACTATTTCAGTAAAATAATCGCTTCAATTTACAAAAAGACCCATGTTGTAGTATACGTTTATAATTTTCTTATCTATCCACCTTTTTCAGACTTAGTATCATAAAGAAACAAACAAACAAACAATATATGCAGACGGCTTCGAAAAATCGGAGTACAATTAATCTCTTTGTTATTTGTATCGATATAAAAAAGGTTTTGCCAGTAAGTGTATTGGTGTTTTATTTCCTATTCTTGATGAAAATAGTTGACCCAAAAGTATCTGTAAATGTTACTCACAAACTGACAAATTGAAAACAAGTCTCTATATAAAATAAGTCTTTTATCTACTTGCTGATGTTATATTTTCCTGACATTTCAGTGATCCAATTTTCCACGGTTACCTGATTTTCTGTTAACCACAGTATTTTAGATTTTGTAGCCTCTACGGCTTGTTTAAAAGTTTGTTCAGCTGGACCTAAATCAGGTGTTTCAGCAATAAATTGTTCCAAATCTCTGAGTTGTTCAGTTGTGGTAAACGGCTCTGTCACGCCACTCACCAAAGAACTTAACAGAAATAAACTACCAGCAAATGTGTCAAGGAAGCGCTGCCAATTACTTTTTACATAGTCCCAAACCTCGGTTGTAGCCGATGGATTCTGTGCCAACCACATTAATGTTGATCCAATGTCACGTCCTTGAATGGTATACTGATCGCCACATAGATTTAATAATCGCTTTTGTAAATCTTTATTCTGTGTACACGCCAACGACCTGAGGTAAGAGTATTTTTCATTTATATTCAACGTTGTGTTATATTTCTGTAAAACAAAAACCCAGTCTGTGTCGTTTCCTTCTTTAAGGGCCGAGCACAACACAGTACTTCGTGTATTCACGTCAAGAGAATCATTCCTGTTCTTCCAAAGCGAAAACTCGTTCACTGACTGCTTAATACAGATTGTCATATCTAATGTACAAGCTAACGAATATACTTTTGATCTAAGCAAGTTTTGTTCCATAGTCAGACTTCCTTTATTCAATTCAAGATTTTTGTAAATTGTTTGAATAAAATGTTTCATAATTTCCTTATATGCATCATATGCCTCTATGTTAGCTATAAGCTTATCAATGTACGTAATTTCCTTCAACGCAGCCAACCACGGGACATACTCATCCTCGAACCTTAAGTATTCGAAAACTGTTAATGCTAATTTTAATTCAACCATCTTTGCTTTGCTTAAACTGAACAAATCGTTGATAATCTGTGCCCTGTTTACTAAATCGATCTTGGCCTTATTTGCCATTAACTGCTTGATTAGATTTTTCCAAATAGTTTCTTCATAGTTAACTCGGTAATACCCCCACTGTTTTAAGTTTGCAATAATCCAGTTACCTGGAAGTGTCAGGTTAATAATTTCTCGGTCTGCTATCATTAAAACTTTTTCTTCCATCCAGATAATATCTTTGTTAGTCACCGAAAAGGACGTATTACTGCTGCATGTGTATGTTAAAGGAATTTTCCACACATAATTGAATGGCGAGATTTCTGTGTCGTTTACAGCTTCGCTTGGATTATTGAGAAAGCGTTCTTGTGTGATTTTAAGTAAACCTGGTTTTACTTGTCTGATTGTTATAACGGGATAATTTTTCTGCAAAATCCAAGTGTCCATAACTTGTCCAACTCCTGGAGGGTGGTATTGCTTTAAGGGGTTCGGCTCTACTGCTTTCCAAAGATCAGCATGCCCAACACTCGAATATTTGTAATTTTGAAGGTATCGTTTGAGACCATCTTGAAAATCAGCGTCACCAAGAATGAAGTTAAGCATTCGAATCATGCAGCCGCCTTTGGTGTAGGAAATTGAGTCAAATACTTGTCGGATTTCCGTTGTATCTGCTAATTTCTTGTAGACAGGGTGAGATGAGACCAAACCGTCATCATCAAAAACGCTATGTATATTTCGAACTGCAAATTGATCCATAAAATTCCAGTCAGGGTACACATTGGATATTCCAACATCAGAAAAATATACTGCAAACCCTTCCTTTAGGAACAAATCACTCCACCAATTCATTGATACTAGGTTTCCAAACCACTGATGCGCTAGTTCGTGTGATATGGTAACAGAAGATTGCATAAGATGATTTAGACTATATTCCCCTTCTTCGTAGAATATTCTGTTTTGGTTAAAAATGATAAGCCCCCAATTTTCCATCGCCCCGACGGACGTTTCTGGAACAGCCAAGATGTCTTGTTTTGGCAAAGGGAACGATATTCCAAAGTAGTTTTCAAAAAATGACAAAATTTTGGCACCGAATTCCAACGCGTGTTTGGTTTTGTTGATCGTTTCTTTTCCAGCCCACGATGTATAGTCCAATCCAGTTCTAGCCGGACGCGTTATAGAATCAAGGTCTCCGACAGCCATTGCTGTCAGATATGTAGGCATTTTAGGCGTCCTTTGATATATATCTGCCACAAAATTTAAGCCCCGAGTAACTGTCGACATTATGGGCATGTTCGACAGACTCACCATATCATTTCGTCTGACCAATGTTATTTCAAACTGGGCTTTCCTATCTGGTTCGTCCAAACAAGGATACGCCTTCCGGGCATCCGTTGGCGAAAATTGCGTCGCAGCAACGTATTGATTAACCGTTCTGTACGGAAACCGACTGAGGTACATTCCCGCAAAATCTGTTTGCAGCGTTCCTGTGAAATTCATACAGACAAAATATTGATTTCCAGGGCGAATGTCTTCTTTTAAGTAAATAATCAAAAACTGCCATTTTGTGTTTATTTCATAGGTAAGTATTTCAATGCCGTCATAAGTTTCCTCATTGGTGGCCAACAATTTTCCAGCTTTCATTGAAGAGTTATTCAAAGTTAATTTATTTATATTAAGTGTAATATTTGCACTTTTCTCAATACATTTGAATTTAATCCAAACACTTCCTGAAAGAGTGAATTCTGAAGAGCGTGTTCCGTAGATGTCAGGAAATAGCTCTATTTTATATAGAATCGGTTCAATGTGCCTAGGTAATCGTCCATCATCACCTAAATTACCATCCTTATTGGTGGATTTATTTGCTCCTTTTTCCACAGTTGTTTTACTGCCGGTAGTGTCATTCTGAGCAGCGCCGATGAAATAGAAAGCGACGGCTGTCCCACACAAGGAAACCACGCACACAATCAGTAACAGTAGCGCTGAAAATATAAGTGAAAGCTTATAATTAGAGCAGAACAAAACTATATAAACTTTATGTGATACGAGTAATTATTAATTTTTGAACAACACAAGAACAAGAACAAACTTGGATGCGTAAAGGTGCACTGTGAAAGTAAAAATCAACAATGGAGAGGGACACCCAAGAAACGTAGGCATCACGTTACAATAGAGAAAAATAGAATCCGTTAGGTACTCCAAAAACTGCAAAATAGAAAGTGTTGCAGGCTCGGTTTGATTAAGCATGTTCATAGACAGTAACTGTACTTACATGCTACCGGCCACGCTCACTAACATCGGCTTAAGCAGAATTGAACATGAAGGTATTGGAATTTTAAATTTAGAAACATCTCTGTACAAACCAAGAGATCTAAACGAGTGACCATAACTAATATAAATAGAAAAAAAAAGATATTCTATTTGCACAAAGTAAAGTCAACGTTATAATACATGCAAGATTCATTATAAAGTTACCTCATCTTGTTTGCTTTAACATGAAATCGACATTGTAAACATGCATAGTTTTTGCCATTTGATAAATGACATTGATTTAATGTTTTACAAATATAGCTTATATAGCATCTGCCGAATGTTTAGACTGTGCAGGATTGTATAGCTCTTTACTGGTGGCATGGATTTAATCACTTTTTTGAAAATGAGTATTGAAAATGAAACCACGTACCAAGTTGTAACAAACATGTTGACTAATATTAAATGTACAGAAAGGAAACATGATTTCATCCTCATTGTAAGTTTATTTTTGTTCACTTTAGTTGTTGAGTAATTTTATTACCGATGTTGTTGTTGGTGTTGTTGTTGTTGTTGTTGATTTTGTTGGTGGTGTTTTTTGTTTGTCTTAACTGTGTATGTGATTTAACATGTATAGCAGACTGAGATAATTGACATTTTAATTCTTTTTTTATTTTAATTTTTACAAAATATCTTCTACCCTAGCTACTGTTTGGTTTTCATTCTAATTTTATCATCATGAATTGAACGTTATACAGTTAATGGTATAAAATATCGCTAACGAGTAAATGTCATGTCAATGAATGGCTTAAAAATGAAAATAACTTACAAAACTGATGCATTCTTGCCGTTATTTCAATAAACTTCAATTAAAAATCCAATAGATTTGTCATCGAATTGAGTTTTGATGTTTTTGTTAATCGAACAAACAATTTACTAATAATTAATTGTATATCAAAATTCGTTGTCATTTTTGTCAAAAGATGTTTAGCACAAGAAATAACAATACAAAAGAGTAAGGTAACTCTAAATGTCTCGATGTTTCAATTGCTATGTCATGACATGCGTTATGCATTGCACATCTGCATCAATGCATGCAGTGCATGCCTGTAACATTGAACATTTGTTACATAGTTGCACTGCAGTATGGCAATTGATTTATCTATTGTATTTATTCATAACTTATGTAATAGATGAGTTTAGAACAGGCATGCTCTTTCTTATTCACAATAATTCACTAGGCAATATTTTGGTTGATGGGTCACCAGGCAATATTAAAGGTTGACAAATATATTTGATTACAGATTGAATTGATTAAAGTGACTTAATAGGCATAGCACATGTAACATCGATGGCAAAGACACAAAATGTACGATGAGAGACATTAAAAAATTGTTTCTTTTTTATGATGCTATTGTTTTGCTTTGTTTTTTCTTGTTGGTAGTGGCGGTGGTATCATTATTATAATTGTATCATAGTTTGGAGATCTTTCTATGAAAATGTGTCAGCGTTAAATCGTATACATATACATGCACAGTGCGTTAACTGGAGTGCGGGTATAAGTTACCCGCACTCCAGAAATGCCCATTGATTGGCTCATTTTTGCTGGGGTTTACATATTGTGACGGCAGAGAAAGGGAAAGCGACAGAAATATCATATTCAGATGTTCGTTCATTGGTTCATTTTTGCCGGGGTTTCATATCATATCAAACATAAAAACACGTTCAACAGGGAACGTGTTTTTATGTTTGACTATGATACAAAAGAGAAAGAACACCAAAACACTCGGTAATCTGATTAATACTCGGGGGCTACGCCCCCTCGTACAAATCGGATAACCTCGTGTTTCGGTGCTCTTTCTATTACTTATTATTTGTTGTTGCTGTTGTTGTTTTTCAATTGTATTGTATACATGTACTATCAAATGACAAATGAAGTAATAATATACAATTTGTAATTTTTAAGATACCATGAGATTTATCGTCAAAAATGATTAAACATTATTAAAAGATACAATTGTGGTGAATTTGAAAATAAAGCAAATCTATAGAACAAAAAATATAACTTAAGTTTAACAGGTACGAGTATGTGTACGAAATTCATTGTTTATTTGTGCTGTCTAAAATAATTTTGACCGGCATCAAATGTTTCCCTTGTAGAATAAACATTTTGTTAAGCTTATGTTTTCTTGAAAGGCCAGCTGTATTATGTTCTTGCTAGTATATGCTTCTTCATACAAAAGGTGTTTATTTGTTTAAATCACATCCATCACTGTGTTCCACCATTATCAGATCAAATATAAACACTAAAGAACGGTCGATGAACTATGTAAAAACAACACTAGACAAATTCCGTGAAGCTATGTACAAATACAGATACAAATTGTTTTTCGTGTTTTTGTTGTTGTTTTTCTGTCGGGTCGTATTTGTGAATTTATAAATTATATTTATGTGAAGCGGTGGGCTAGTAATAAATGTGTCTTCCTTTCAACGCAGGGATCATGGGTTCGAGTCCTACAGGGGCCACGACCATGTTTCTTCATATGTCACCAGTACTTGTTAGTTCCAGGAAGCGGACTAATGATTAATATAAGTTGCAAGAACTTGTTTCGCAATTAAGTAAATAACTATGTTTAAACTAAACTAAACATTACAGTTATGACGCAAAAATTATACACGTCGTGCAAAGAACTCGGACTTGCAATACTGTGGTTAGTGGGCCTTATTTTTTGCATAACATGCAAACTGAACGCGTATTGGACACTGGACAGAGTTTCGTTATTTTGTTATTTGAATGTAAAACTACAAAATTAATGTTGCGCGAAAATGTTGTATTGTGACAATAAAGTCAGCCAGGCTTTATTGTGTTTATAATTTATTCTTTTGTAAAATCAACCCACTGATGTCCTAAACTAACTGCTATGAAAAGTACAGATTTAGTTTTTATTTACTATAAATCACCAGTTAGTTTTTATTTACTATAAATCATCATTTAAAAATATTCACCATAACGAATACGCAATAAGTCCCGATTAGAACCTCTCTCTTTTCTTTTTGTAAATATGCAGTAACATTTACACACTAAAAAGGAAAAAAAATCCGGAAAATGAATCAAACAGCTACAGTCGGTCACTATCCACCCCCACCCTTCTGCCCCACCCTTTACCGCCTTTTGCAAGGTAAAAAAAATCTTTTGCCTTCGTGGATAGACATCGTTTTATTGCCAATGTACATTTTTAATGTAAATTCAAAATTTCAATTTGAAAAAAAAAAATTCATTTAAAACATAACTCCCCTTGATGAAAATAGCTATTTGCGTAAATAATTGTTTTTCTTTGTCGTAAAGCTTCCATGATTGATTGGTATTTAATTTTAATTGTACCAACATGAGGCCTAATTACACAGATAAGACAGATAAGACTTTAAAACAGCTCTGAACGTAGGCGTGTATTTAGTGTAATGTTGTTCTCGTTTTATAAGTTTACCTTTCTTTATTTTTTTAAGTCACGTGGTTACTAGAAATGTTTAACTTGACTAGTAAAAGCAGCCAAATCTCTTGAAGTCTGGCGCTATGGTGGGCTTTTTTCTCCAAAAATAATTGCGACTGGATTAAATTTAAAATTTTGATAAATTTGTTTTGTCAACAAGGGCCAAACATGTAAAAATAATAGCAAGAAATACAACTCAAACGATTCATTTCATTTCAAATTATCACAAAAGTCAGCAACGACAATGATGAACTATCGCCATAAATAAGCAATTCATTGCATCAAGGTATTTTAACCGCCACTATATTCTCACACTCCGTAGCTCCGATATTAAACTTTTGTTCACAACATATTAAAATCTTTGTACCGCAACATGCATGACAAAAATCAGGACAAAATGTGATCCCTCGGAAGCATTTATAACAACATATTCACATCAAAATTGCAGACTCAGTTTGATTGAGTCTATACGTGAGGGATAATTAAAAGGTGCAACATCTCTCACGCCCCCTAGCACCGGCTTGAGAGGTTCTAAGACAATACTTAATTGGCACCTAAAAGTATGCATTTAATATACGGCAAGAAATCCAAGTTATCCGAGAAAGAAAACTGAACTGAGTAAGCCCATATATAATGCACATATTATATGATATATAATACATATAATTGAGAAGTACAGCGTGTAGGTGCCGGTGGGTATCCCCTTCCACAGTAAACAAGTTATTTTAATTAAATATAAGCTAACTACAGTAACAGTAAGTGAAATAAAAGCTAACTATGATCATAAAGTGCTTACTTTGGTGTTGTTGATTTTATTTATTTATTTATTTATTTATTTATTTGTTTTATTTATTTATTTATTTATTTATTTATTTTATTTATTTATTTATTTATTTATTTATTTATTATTTATTTATTTATTTATTTATTTATTCATTTATTTATTCATTTATTTATTTATTTTTTATTTATTATTATTTATTTATTTATTTATTTATTTATTTCTATCAAAATATCCAGACCGCCCTACATAGCCATGCAGTCTGATCAGTACCTGTACTGGTGTCTGACTAACTCAAAATTTTTATTTTGAAATATCCAAAATTAATAACGTACAGTTCCAAAACTGGTAGCTGGATAAGATTGTTTTAAAAACTCTCCATGAAGCGCTAGCTAGCATAAGATTTAGAGCTGAAAAACAACACTGACAAAGATGTAAGCTTTTCAAGTACCAGCATTCTCAATTAATTCAATTTGGATTTGTTTACTCTTATCTAAAATGCGTATCATATTATCGTTGAAAGTTTCTTTTTATCTGTTACAGTTTAATAAAACATATTTATTCCGTAATCTAATAAATTGTTCGCGTATAGGTGGTCGTTTGTGATACTGTTTAACTTCGTTTGCTCGAACTCGGATCGCTCGAATATCTCGCTTCACTCGAACTCAACGCCCGGTCCCGTATTTCTTTATTAATCCATATTGATTTGTTAAAAAGAACATGTAAATGAATTAAACTCAATTGACATTCCATTGGTTTTAAAGATCTTGCCTAATTAAGATAAATCTCGTTAGAAATATATAAATAATGTAAACGAAATATTATGTGTAATGTCTATTTGGGTTAACGAGCGTGAAATGTTTAACACGACTATATGATGCGTGTTATATGACGTGCTGTGCTGTGCTTTACTGATATATCTACGCCTCGTGTTGTCCAATATTTAATTTATTGCACAGTTTTGGGATTACATCCACAACTTACTCTTCAACTTAACAATTGGACAAATGCCCGTAACACAGTTAAATCTGTGTGTAATATCACTTTTAAGCGTGTAATATTTTGAAAGTCGGCCATGAACAAAATAATAAGAAAAAATAATAAAAAGAAGAAGAGAATTTATATAAACAAGTCATGATACTTTATACTGACAAGTACTGACAACATAGAATACAATAGCATAATTGTTTTCATTCCAAGTTTGACAAACTAAATTTGACCAGTGCAATCTGACGAACCAGTCAAGTTTTAACAAATATTCGCAAAAATACAACAGCCATTTTATATAAAAAAACGGACCTTAGAAAAGCGAAAAAGTAGATTCGTTCTGTAACATCTGTTCAGAGTTGTAGCATGAAAACGTTTTCCTCGGTCGTAAAAAATATCGGTAAACTCTTCAAAACTAAAATAATTTAATAACGATAAGACTTTCATTTCTGAATGTCATTAAAATTTCAATAACATGATTTTCAATTCAATTCAATATTTCTTTGGCATTAACATAATTATAATAACGTTCATTGCAAATACGTGACTATATGGCAGATGCAACACGGAGTACACAATTGAGAAAAGTATGCTATAACCAACTAATATTTAATTTAAAGCAACTTCTATGAAGTTTAAAAGCCTAAAACATCTTTCATAGATCAGCTGGAGTACTTTTCACAGAAAACTATGCAAAAGATAATTAAAGATCCTGTATGCTTTGAAATTGATGTTGAATACCACTCTTGCGTGAAATTATATATTTTATAATTATGCTTATACAACAATTTTCAAGCATCGAAGAATATGTAAAATATGTACTGCAAATATTTGTACATTTCTTATTAAAACATTTGACTAAGAATTTATACAAAACAAATTTCTAATTACCTCCTTTTATTTACATGAAATATTAAATTCGGTAATATCTTTACAAATAATGCTTTTTGGAACATACAAAATTGATAAATCTTAATTTGAGCATCATATTTGTTATATACAACCATAAAAATGTGTTACAGGATCTTTAACAAATGTATTCAGAAGTAAATTGAAAATCGTACGAAAGACAGGTAGGGCCATTTCAACGTCATGAATTCCCGATTTCATCTTCATGAATTCACAATTTAAACTTCGTGAATTCCCGTTTTCAACATACGGAATTCACGATTTCAGCTTCGCGAATACGCGATTTCAACTTCGTGAATTCACGATTTCAACTTCACGAATTCACGATTTCAACTTCATGAATTCACGATTTCAACTTCACGAATTCAACTTCGTGAATTCACGATTTCAACTTTGTGAATTCACGATTTCAACTTCACGAATTCACGATTTCAACTTCATCAATTCACGATTTCAACTTCACGAATTCACGAATTCAACTTCGTGAATTCACGAATTCAACTTTGTTAATTCACGATTTCAACTTCATGAATTCACGATTTCAACTTCATGAAGTTGAAATCGTGAAGTTGAAATCGTGAAGTTGAAATCATTAATTCATGAAGTTGAAATCGTGAATTCGTGAAGTTGAAATAGAGAATTCATGAAGCTGTAATCGGGAATTCATGAAGTTGAAATGTCCCCACCGGTCTTTCGAAAAATCGTACTTTTTGTGCAATTCTTGTCCCAATTTCAGTGCACTTTTCAATTTGGGTCATTTTTTCACAATAAGAATAATAAATCATGAAAAACTGAGTGAGCGAATGATCTGAAGTTTTGCACATAAGTATATACCTTCATCAAATAGAACATTAATCTTGAAAATTTGATACCAATAACCTCAGTGTAGTCCCTTTAAAAATACAGTCATAAATATAAATCATTTCAATTGCTTCAAAATATCATGAGAATATATACAGTGAACAAGCAGTTACAATATTAAAACTCATTTAAACCTTTCATCAAAAACAGAACATTACCACTGTGTAATTCTGTTAGCATTAGCTAATTAAATAAATCGTGAAAGTTCGTTTACAATAATACTATTTTAAGTGCATTATCAGTTAAAATTAGGCCAAAGACAATACTAATACATATGCACTCATTACACGTGATTTTCAAGCGTTAGCCACGCCTCTTAATTTTTCCCGTTCACAAAATTTCATTCGCAATTGCTTAACCAATTTATTAATATCTGTTGTTTTTAAATACATGCAAATTGTACAAAAATAAAAATCATCCAACATTTCATTGAAACTCGTATTTTCAATTTGTAATTTTAGAATTTATACTATAATAAATCACCTGCTCGTTTCGAAATGTGTATTCCGTCCATTATTTACACCACTGCAATAGAATGTAAGTTTATTTTCATCCCGGTGGTTTAAGTGGGTAAGTGATATAGCCTTGATTACGAAGGCATTTAAATGATTTTTGTAATCATCTCGACTGTGTAATTTAAAACACTCTCTAAAATTCTAATTTCACCTGCGAATACTTCACGTTTTTCACGGTAAAATTTGTTCTTGTTGTTTTCATCGTGGTTGTTTGAGGATATTTTTTAGCTAAAAAGAACTTTTATAGATATGCTTTGATCCTTGCATATAAATTAGCATATGATAGGTTACATTTAAATAAAGATGTAAGTTTATGATCGTTATTTAGATAACATTCAAAATACAGAGCAAAAAGTAAACATGCTAAGGCGGTTAAAGACTCCAAAAGTTTTATCACCTTACAAAATCGTTACCTTATTGAGAATGAACCTGGTATGTTTTTCGCACGAACAAATTTTGTTTTCCTCCTTAAGTTTGATTTATTTAATTTTCTGAAAATTGAATTTTTCGAAAAATATTTACGCTTGAAGCATCGTAAACGTGAGACACGGGGTATTTTGAACATAGTGAATTTCAGATTAAGGATATTTCAATGATAATATTTCATTATTTTCAATATTGTGCTTACATGAGTGATATTCATGTTTTCATGGAAGCCACAATAGCTTAAAAATATACAATATCCTGTTTGTTTATGGCAAAAGATATTAAAAACCTTACGTTTTATATATTATTTTGTGAGAGTGTGGGCACACTGACATGTAGAAAAACCACAAGTTATAAAATGTTTGAAACTACGAAAGTGAACAAGATTACGAAAATTTACGGGGCATAATTTAAGTAAACTGAGCCTAATCCACTCGACAATACAAAATCATGGTAAAGGCTCTAGAGATTATTAGTTTAATCTACTCGACAAGACAAAATCATGGTAAAGGCTCTAGAGATTGTTTAGTTTAATCCACTCCACAAGACAAAATCATGGTAAAGGCTCTAGAGATTGTTTTGATTGTTTTGTTTCCAACAGACGGTAGGATTTAGTTGTACAACACTAATAAGAGATATGATGTACAATTTTCAAGGCAATACAACACTTGCATTCAGACCGTAATTCTGCATTGTAGGAATCATCAGGTTTCTCCCTTACTCACTTTAATCACTAAAAAAAATTTTTCTCCATCAGTAATGATTGAAACAACTTCATTTTTTTAAAAAGTCTCTAATTGTCACAGGGCGAGATTTATGTGCAGCCCGGCCTAGACTCGAACCTGGGACCATCGGAATACCGTACTGCGGCTCTACTGACTTAGCTATCCGGTCGCCTACAAAATATCTTTCCTGATTAGAGAACAGTTCAATACTGTGACATAATCATTTTCTGAAAAATTTGGGACTTGAACATACCACAACTTTAGGTCTTGTGAAGATTTTTTCAACATCGGTTTTACCCCATCTTACTACTATGGGCCTTTAGCCTTAATTGTTCTGGAATTTCATTCATTAAACACATTATCAGGGGATAATTGGGAGAAATGTCACCTGTCATCGTGGGAGGTCTGTACAACAAGTATTAAGAGAAAGAAAATGTCCTTAATTAAATCTGAACTTATTTTATTCAGTCCATGTAACATAACAATTCTTTATTCCTAAATTAAATTTGTCCCTTTAATATAAATATATAAGGAAATCTTGAAAAATATATCTCTTTCATAAACAACAATGCCCCGTATCCCTCGAATAAAAATAAATGAAAGTTTGACCTTTTAAAAGTCAAGGCCATTTAAAGGTCAAGGTCATATAATATCAATACTAAAAATGGAGTTATTGTCCCTTAAGCCCAATTTAAAAAGCTGTTGCTGATAGTATAAAGCAATGGCCATTATTTTTGAATTTGTCTGTAGGAACAGACAACTCGATAGACAGACAGACAAACAGGCAGAGAGATGGTACAAAAACAATAACACACACCCCATCCCTCTAACCCTCTCCCGTCTATTCCGTAGACAAAAAAAGATCACTAAAATTGGCCTTATTTTATAAAAATAATGCGTGTTGAATATTTATTTTAATAAATAATAAACTGTTACCTAAATAACATTTCCTTACTTTCACAAATGTTCCTCATTGTTAATTTGTAATCCAGCTTCGTTCAACATTGTAACAAATTGATTTTAAACAGACAGTAAAAATAAACAACAAAGCATAAAATTGACCGAGTTAACTTTTCTTACAGGTAATACACACAACGTTTATAAAATCTACGTTCCCATTATGTCATTTAAACACTTATCATTTTTTGTATGATTTGATAATTAATTGGTGTCGCATGTTTTAATTACAAAATAACCACAACTATATAAGTAAGTCTTAATTGTTAAATCATATTTATAAAGCAATTATATAGATAAGAATTTACCTGAACGCTTAGAAATGTGTATCCCATCCATAGTTTTAGCTTATAGAGCACAGCTAATGAAGTGGATAACGAATAGCTTTCAACCAGGTGATAAAAAAAATGGATTATCTCCATGTAAAAAGCTGTTGTCTATTTATTTTTCGGAGGTTTATTTATGTTAAAGACGTCTCAACGATGCAATTTGTAAACTTTAGCTGAAGGTTAACGTTCTAGACATGAAAAAAATATCTAGAGAGAGAAAGATTTCTTTGTTATTGCCATTACATTTCCTCAGTTACCTAAAACTGAATACTAGTAATAAGGATGCCCGCACACTTTTCTGTCCCAGGTAGGAGCTTCGAAACGGCGTATCTAATGGCCGTGACGCATTAAACCAACATAAATGTGCAGCTCTTATGATAGTGATAATGTTGGTAGTTTACCCTTCGGATCTGGGCAGTAAGCATTGAATTTAGCAAAGCACAGTTCGGCCACCGCAGCGTTCCTGGGAAGTCTGTCAAGTAGAACTTACTGCAAGAAAATAATAACTTCTATACATGTCAGAGCAGAGGTACCGTAGAAAGGATTTCATGACCAGTCATAACGAAAGTGACGCGCACCGTCCGGGAAATCGAACCCGGGCCGCCCGGTTAACAGTCCAACGCTCTACCTATTGAACTAACCGGACGGTACGTCAGCTAGGGTTTGCAGATAATGATTTTAAGATGATATTGAGACGGTTTAAAACAGTTTTCTGTTCACTATTTAGGGGAGAAGATGGTAAGCGGGATAGCTCAGTCGGTAAAGCCGCGGTATTCCGAAGGTCCCGGGTTCTAGACCCGGTCATACTGCACATTTTTCTGACCCTGTGATATGTAGAACTGGAAATAAATTTTAACATGTTAGAAGGAAAGTACTATGACTTCCACTTGCCGTCTGTCTGTCTGTCTGTCTGTCTGTCCGTCCGTCCACAAATCTGTATCTACTCTATCAAATGTAAGGATGTTTATGAAACCTTAGACCAAATAGTTATTTGTCTCATTTGAGAAGGCGTGCAGGTCAAAGATTGCACTATTTCACCTGGAGTTACTGGTATTGGTCCTTTATTAGCAGTCTGTATACTAGTATAAATAAGTATTATGTGGCAATCTTTTTTTACAAAAGTCCATTAACTGAAATTATATGTGTGTAAACTTACACATTATCAATATTCGTTCAATTTCATTAAGAGTTCACTTTTTACCGTTGAGTTATGGGCCTTTGTGAAATCTGTTGATAAAACTTTATCAAACACGGTAGTTCTTTATTTGTCAGTTATTTTATTTTATGATAAAAACTGTTTCACGTTTTATTTGTACGATGTTATGAGAAGTGTCCACTGATTCCCGATTACAACTTAATGAATTCTCGATTTCAACTTCACGAATTCACGATTTCAACTTCATAAATTCACGATTTCAACTTCACGAATTCACGATTTCAACTTAATGAAGTTGAAATTGTAACCGCTTGACTTCATGCATGAACGATCGCGATAGTCCTTTCTCCTGCAAAAGAAAATAAAGACACGATACCCATAGTATTCCGAACTGGAAATGCGCAGAGGCGACCTTCAACTCAAACCAAGTTAACCGTTTTATACGACTTATATCGTTATTTTCATAAGGGTGTGTCTGCCCCTTTCGGACAAAGTGTAATCAGCCCGTTTATATAAATCCCGGGTATACCACCATATGCCCTAGCGCGAAAAATACGATCCTATATCTACATAAATGATAGGACTGATGAGTCGAGGCATGTCCCCTTCTTTCAAGGAAACAAATGTGCCACGTCACGACAATACCAACATAGTGCGCTTGCGACCAGCATGGATCCAGACCAGCCTGCGCATCCGCACAGTCTGATCAGGATCCATGCTGTTCGCTATCAGTTTCTCTACTTGTAATAGAGTTGGTAAGCGAACAGCATGGATCCTGATCAGACTGAGCGGATGCGCAGGTTGGTCTGGATCCTTGCTGGTCGCAAGCGCACTATGGTTTTATCGTGACACTGCTCAAATGTGGAGACATGTGCTCGATTTTAAAGTCTAAGCCATGGCATCGCTGTCTAACAAAATGACGCTCGGGCCAAATTGCCATTTAGCCTTGATATATAATAACATGGCTGTAATTAAAGCGGTTGTAATAATAATAATAAAATCTTTTTTCAAGAATGAAACATATATATGCAAAGTTTATGAAATCTAAAATACATCTTATTTTCATATGACCTTCCAATGAAAGTACTTTTTATCGTTTCTATATAATTTATAAAGTTAATAAAGTAATACGAACTGAAAGAAAGATTGTTGAAACAAACAAAACTTTGTGGTTTGTGTATCAATTCTTTGGTAGTCTTAAATTTATTGTCCCAATTTAGACAAGTATATTGAATAATTCATATAAACAAATCAATCTTTATATTAGAAAATAATACATTACAATGTCAATTAAACGTATATGTCTCCCTCCCCTCTCATTTGTTTAACAGTGTTCAAATAATTCACAAAATCTATCTTTATATATCCTAAAGCAATTAAAAAGTTAGATGGTCAAAGGCCTTAAGTTTAGTAAGTAAGATGGCCAAAAGTCTTAAATCTTTATGCACTTGTGCATGTTAAAAATGTTCAGTTTACATAACTAATGCTTGAAAATAAAACCCCAAAAAAGCCCCATTAAATTTCAGAAATGTTTCTCAGACAATCTTGGAGAAATATATACAAATCCTACAGAATGTTATGATAATCAGACTTACCTAGTCTTGGTATAATTGTATTAACAATGGCGTCTTATTCAAATCTCTCTCTTTTTTTTTCTTTTTTTTTCTGAAAGCATTTGTTTCAGGAATGTTTGCATCAAATGCTTATGAACTCGCAACTGTTTATAGATTTATATAATGTGCTATTAATTTGCCACAATCAGATTACACAATTCCATAGATCAAATCATTAGTTAAGGTAAGTATGCAAACTGTCCAGCCAGTATGTATTTTGAGAATAAGTGAAAATTGTGCTTTTGATGATATAATGCTCTGAAATTTGCTAACATCGTGACAGAAAATCAAGCTCACTCTTTTATTATATGTTTATTCGTATTGTACCTTATCCACAAATGAGACTTAAAACGATCATTTGTATTTTTTCTGTTGACAGGAAAAATGTTAATTTGAAAGGTGCACCTTTACACTGTGGTAGCAGTATAGAGTTACATATAAGCAAGGCGTCATATCCGTGCAGTCTGAACCGGCTGACTAACTTGAGAAGATAGAAAGTTCTACAAAATGGAAGCTTGAAAAGTGCATTTTACAAATTCAGCAGTTAGATAAGAATTGCAAATATGTACAGTCTTACCAGTGTCAAAATTGTCGGCTGCTCAATGTTAATCTATTTTTCTTGCATATCATCACATTACCTTTTCTATAACAAGTAGAATATGTCAAATATAGAAATTAAAATGTATACTTTAGCAAAATGCCCCCAGATTAATATTTGCAAACAAAAAGTGAAATACATCTCTAATATTTTATGCATTTTTGAAACGTTTATGTTTTGCAAAATTGAAATAATTCTGTCGTAATCATACAATGAAAAGTAGAAAAAACTTTAAACTCGAAATTATCCTTGATACTATAATGATAATTTTAAAATTTCATAGCGGACCTAAAAAGACGTAAACTGATAACCCGCTTGGTTTGCATAACTATTATTGTATATAAACCAATGCAAGACGTATCTGTGAAATTTGCCTCCCTATAAAAACTATGAGGAAATTGGTATTTTGGTCGGCCCTTTATTAAAAGGGCTAAACAACTGTTTGACTATTTCTTTTGAGAGAAGGGAAATCCTGTGATGCGTGTATGTGGTCGCACGGTCACTTTCCTTACATGTCTTCGAATCATGTCTGTGGTCGCATGGTCGAAAATCTTTAGTAACATGACAACCTTTCCAAACAATGATATATAGATCTTCTTCTTTTTTTTTCTTCTTTTTCTTCTTCTTCTTCTTCTTCTTCTTCTCTTGGCTAAATTTTTATGCGTCTGCGTAAAACTTGAACGAATGTTCTTGCAAGTTGCATTATTTTTCTCCGTGATGCATTATAATCGTCTCATTAGCCTCCCGTGCTTCAAAAATGTAAACGTCTCAAAAACCGACTTGCAAACATATTGTACTTTGTATCATTCAGTGAATTACTGTATTCAAAATATATAGATGATCTTTTGGGTTATTATAACTAATAATACCATATTTTGAATAGATAATAGATAGATCATTTTCATTTTATTTGATAGCTTTATAAAATATACTGATTGATAAATATGTTTCTAAATTATTATCCCCCTTTTTTACAATTTTCAACATGTGATTAAAACAAAAAAAAAAAAAAAAAAAAAAATTTTCTAATTCTAAACTTTCACATAAGTAACTGTTGTTTTCATACTTGTTGTAATTATTTACTAGCCTAGTTTCCCTATGAAAATATATGTATCTTTTGATCCAGTTATTTTATGTAATTCCTTTCGAAAATTATATATGGTGTTTTTTTTTTTTTTTTTTTAAAGTATATTTATACATACATATGCACATGTTTTATTGTAATACTTATTGTAATATTATCACGTTCCTTTTACGCGCCAAATGTAACGTCTATTAACGTAGACGTTTGTTTTGTACGTTAACGTCATTTTTATATATGTATCAACTGAGGAAGCTTAATAAAGCGAAACATGTTTTGATACTTAATTTGTGTTGGTTTTTGATCCAATTATCCTATAACTAAGGACATGAATTCTTACATGTCCAGCATCTGTACTCTCAGTGCCTGAAAGGGTGGTATGACCATCATTAAGCATAGAACACACATTCACACGCACGCAAACACACACAACTTGCTGGGATGCAAAATCATAATATTCTTTAAAAAAAAAACTGTTGAAATCGTAATAAGGTGTTTTAAAAGTCTATATTAAAATTAATGTCATATTAAATGATGTTGGACTAGATAAATAGTTTTGTTTCAGAAATATTTGTAAGATTATCCAAATGATACGTTTTTAATGTTTTTTTATGAATATTTGAAATATTCCTTGAAATTGTGCCCATTGTAGACAAATCCAATTTAATCTTGAGTCAGCAGATGTATTGGACCATTATTTTATGTCTAAAAACTACTAAATGTGTAAAGACATTTACACAATGTTAACTGTAATTTAATACCACCAGCTACAAACTTTTATCTTGAACAAACATCTTGCGACATTAAACGGCAAAGGAAAATCGTGCGACATTTAAAATTACCATTACGACATTTAACAGCAGAAGATTTTGACATATTTAGAGGCAATGGTGCGACATTTTGCGGCGTTGTAACATTTAAAGGCAGTTGCGACATTAAGCGGTAATGGTGCGATATTTAGCGGCGTTGTGACATTGTTGCGACATTTAGCGTAATTGTGCGACATTGGTCGGCAAGTGCGACATTTAGCGGCGTTGCAGTCTGTGTATAGTCTGTTCTGACTTTATGTCTGTTATTTTCATCACTATAGCGCTTAAAAGTTCTAAATGTCTGTTTGCAGTAATTGTCATTTGTTAGTGAACGGCTTGGCTTGTCGGGATTTCAAAAATATGTTTCGTTCACATAGGTGTAGTTTGTGTTATATAATTTACCTGTTTCTCTTATGTTCATGGCTGTAAGAAGTAAGACATGAGTTTTAAAGGCTCATGTATTATATACAACTAAATACAAGGTAAATATTCATAGCTTTCGTACAATGACAAAACATAGTTAATTCAGTTAATAATTTTACTATTTTCATTCTTTTATCACACAATTATATCTATATTTCATCTTTTCTATGGCATTATAATTTATCAACTTGGTCTTTCATACAATTTAATTTAATCTGCATTCTATGTCTAATCTTCTAAGTCTGCAGAATGTACGTCCAATCAGAATGGTATGAATGGTTTGCGCGTCTTGTATGACAGCTTGATGCACATCGACTGTTTTTATTCCGACATAGTCATATGTCCGCCCTTTTTATACGGCCTCCTTTCTTCTTCATCTTTAATTTATTATATCCGTTACCGTGATATCATGCATTGATTTGATCGCTCTTCATATTTTGAGCGATGGCATATCTTTTCTTGAAGTTTTTTCATTACTAACATCTAGTGTGTCCTTAAATTTACGAAACATCTTTACGGCATGAATATGGACATATTGCATTAATATAATGCTATTTGTTAGAACATTTTCAGTTTTCTATATAAGAATGTCTCTTTTGATAAACATATTTACTATTTTCTCTGGACAAGAATTATTTTTACAAATAGTTTCATGTCTACTGTTCATCATTATGATAGTGATTACTTTCGTCTGTGTTCCTCTGTTAAATAGTTTATATTAATAATTTTAACGTAGGATATTAGCAGTATCCAAACATTTCAACATCAACAATAATATCAACAACATCAAAAACAACAGGAATAACAAAAAAAAACAGAAACGTAAAACAAAGACATAAAAAACATGGAGGGAACTAAACAGCAATCACTGTTTTGAAGTATGTAGCAGTCACTATTAGCACCGATGCTATAAATCGTTTAAAATATGTTTCACATTTCTTATTTCAATCATAGTTATATTTTGCAAATTATTGTTTCTTCTGTGTTCTGTGGAAATATAGTTGAGATATATCAATTATTATTTTTTGATCAGTTAAGTTATAGTGACTGAAGTGCGTGACAAATGACACGGAATTAATTAAAATACTTCTTCATCTCTTTTCGAATCTTTTCAGGCATCAGCCTGCCCACGTTTGACTTTCTTTTCTCTAACTCTCTTTTCTCTTGCTCCTCCTTCACTCTTGACTTAAATCCGAGCCCTCTTTTTGCTGTATCATTATTCCAGGACTTGACGGGCTCGGATGTATTGTATGGCACTGCAGCAGTTGGTATCACACAAGGGGTAGCGTGACCTGGCATATTTGAATTGGCTTTCGCAGGCGTTGATGGATGCATCATCTCCATAAAGTATGGCATGTCGGTGTTCTTCTGCTTTACTAGTGCTTTATGTAGATCTTCCAGCTCCCGTTCTACCCTGAGCGCCTCCTTTACATCAGCTTCCCAGTCGATTTGAACTTCAGCTGACGGTGGTCTTGGCTTATTGTATTCTTTCGACTGGTTGTGGACTGAAATATCCCGGTCAAGCTGAGTGGAGACGCGCAGGGCTCTTCGTCTGTTTCTATAAGTACCTTGCTGTGAGGTGTCGGGTTTGGGAGCTGTCGGAGGTGCTGGAACGTGATCTGATGCCTATGAATGATTTTAGGTATTCATTTTAATGATGTAAAAAGAATAAAAATATTAAAATGAAACTTTAGAATTATATTTTTTATTTAGAAAAGAAGTGTCTGCTTAAACGGACAAGACGTTCGTTAAATATTGAATGCATTCATCAAATAGTATTAGAATCAGAGTGATTTAGCGTTAAGAAAAATTGTTCATGTCGGTAGGCAATTAAAAAGGAAAAAACAGAAAGTATAACATACTTGTATAGAATTAAAGCTATGAGCGTCTGTGCTGGCAGATAACAAGTCTTGACGGAGAGTGGATAAACTTTTGGCTACATCGGTTCCACCTGTTCTGGTATGGCTAAGCAGCTTTACATTTCTCTCTGGAGCATTTCTTCTGTATCCCTCATGTTTTATTCTGTTTCTTCTCTCATACTCCAGAACTTGCGGACTTTTCTCTAGCATACTTTTGTCATGAATACCTTCCATTAAAGACTTGTACAGAGCATCTTCATCCAGTAACTCACTTTCTTCTCGGTTGTTCCTTTGTTGTGGTGACTTTATCAGTTTTGCATCTATTGGTGGCAATTTTGTTACCTTGACATCAAAGTCTCTCCTTGGTTCTTCAGTTTGATGCCATGATGAAACTAAAATAGAAATAAGATATGAAAGACAAGATCATCAATGAACACAACCTCCACACGACCCAGCCACACTGGACCAGCTGCAAGAAGCCCAGCATGATACCTGTATGCTGTTGTTGGTAGGACTTCACCCGAAGAAGTGTAATCAAACAACAAAGATATGTTTCCAGTGTTTTTTTTTCTCTACTTTGGGAATGGTGCCGGTACCAGACTGATTGGGAAAAAATGAGTTATTTTGACTTAAATTGGGATTTTTTAATGCACTTTTTCAGCTACAAATAAGATAAGTCATCATGAATAAAGATAGCTAACAGCTTCCACTGTCCAGGTGATAATTTATATGAATATGTTGGATTTAAATTATTTCAGAGAAATCACTTGGCCTTGTGGAAATTTTGAACAGTCATTTTTGGAATTTAAACATTGGAAATTGGGAATTTTAATGTCTATTTTCTATTGGGAACAGTACCGTTTTAGGGTAGTAGTTATATAAAGAAAAAAAAACGCTGGTTTCAGATGTTCTTAGATAATAATGTTTTGCCTCAGTTATTATCAAGATATAAATATGTATGAAATATTGTGTATACCATATTTAAAAGATTTAGATGATATGCCAATATCACCATTAAAGACATTTGAAATTGTTAATGTGTACAACTGACTGGTATGCAGCTTATGGACTAATTTGTAATTACAATCGTTCATGGTTCCCTTTACACACTATCTTTGCTAAGACTTAAAGGTTATGAGATAACCGTCATATAATCACGATTGAATATGTTTTAAGATTAAAATTACTCCACTTTTATGCCTAACTACTAAATTCTGCTCGAGTTGGTGCTGGGGGCCCGGGCGGTTGCGTGCGTCCATTAACAGTCTCAATCAAATTAAGTCTGCAACATCATCAAGTTTGCCGTTTTGGGCATTATTGAATGTTTCCATTTTTTTATTACTATTATTATTATTATTATTTTTGTTACTGAAGATATTTTCTGAGACAATAATTATTATCTCAACGCTCCTTTTTTCAAAGCACTTTAAAACCCTTTTTAAATAGTTTTACATGGAATCAGTTGGTATCTCGTTAAAACTTTATATAAAATGTGTCAATGATATAGTTTTTAAAGTAGAAGCATAAATAAAGGTAATTTAAATATTTTACTAAGGACATCATTTCTGTTTATGTTACACATATCTAGGAAAGGTAGACATAACACATATCCATAAAAGGAAGGACGTGCATATATATCCAGGAAAATAAGGAAACTCAAACATATCTAGTAGAGGTTGAACTTACACCTTTCCTGGAAAGGAAGAATTTACATAATCCTGAAAAGGTAGAACTTACACCTATCCAGGAAAGGTGGAACTTACAAAGTCCGGCAAAGGTAGAACACATATGTAGCAAATGTAGAACTAACACATATCTAAGGAAAGATCAAACTTATACACCTTATCCGCAAAGGAAAGAAGTTCACATATCCATGGAAAGGCAAAACATATACATAACAAGCAAAGGTAAAAGTAACACATGTTCAGCAAAGGTAAAACATACAAATATCCAAGAAAGGTAGCACATATTAAGCAAATGTATAACTTACATAATTATATCCGGCAAAAGTAGTAAACATTTTATAGTTGTTCAGAAAAATGTTTTACAATATTTTTTTTCAAATATCGCAAAGCTGTACTCGTGTCTAGGTGACAGTATTAATGACTTACCATTTGGTGTTTTATTTCCTGTTTCTTTGCTCAAAAGGTCTGTAGAAGACTTGTGCAGACCATGCACGTTGTCATTTATAGCTTGTGCCGGCCTGGAAACATTATTTGTACCGACAGCGACGGGGGGAAGGCGTGTTTCATCACATTTTGCTTTTGGTCTCGAAACGGAGGGCAATTTAATTCCATTGTAGTCTAGTGTGTTGGTATAACCGGACTTTGTAGTCTCGAAGTATTGATCTTTAAAAGCTATTTATAGATAACAAGCATAAAGTCATGATTATGGTCATCACGATGACGATAATGATGATGATGATGAACTGGTGGAGAAAAAGGATAAATATGACGCTGATGATAATGATGACGATAAAGTGGTGGAGAAAGAGGATAACGATGATGATGGTGATGATAAAGATGATGCTTAAGTGGCGGAGAAAAATGAAAACGATGATGATGGTGAGGATGATGATAATGACGATGATGATGGTTAAAAGGTGGAGAAAGTCGATAACGATTATGATGTTGATAATGATGATGATGACGACGATGATGATGATGAAGTGGTGGATAAAAGAGAATAAAGATAATGATGATGAAGGGGTGAAGAAAGAGGATAAAGACAACGATGATGATTATGAAGGGGTTGAGAAAGAGGATAACGATGATGATGATGATAATGATGATGATGATGATGAAGAAGTGATGGAGAAAGAGGATAAAGATTATGATGATGAAGGGGTGGAGACTGAGGGATAAATCTGACGATGATGATGATGATGATGAAGTGGTGGATAAAAGAGGATAACGATGATGATGATGATGATGATGAAGGGGTTGAGAAAGAGATAACGATGCATATGATGATGATGATGATGATGTTGTTGTTGAATATGATAATGATGATGAAAGAATGAAGAAATGGGATAAAGATGACGATGGTGATAATGATGATGATGAAGTGGTGTAGAAATAGGATAAAGATGACGATGATGATGGTGAAATGGTGGGGTAAAGGATAACGATGGTGATGATGATGATGACGATGACGACGTAGATGACGATGATGATGATTATGATGTGGTGGAAAAAGATGACGCTGATGATAATGATGATGATAGTGGTGAAGTGGTGGAGAAAGAGAAGGAGGATGAAGAAGCGCTGCTAGATGCTCAAAGATGATACACAAAATATGGATAAACTTAAAATGAGAAATAACTCAAAAACAGAATTTATTTTTGAACACGTGTGAGATATGTAAAAAAAAGTAAACTCAAACAAGATTTGCACGTATTATTCATTGTTTTGATTTAAACATGTTTTATTGCCAACAAGGCTTGGCCCACAAGTTCTCGCAACATTAGCGATGGTTCTTCCCTTATTATTTGTTTAATATTCATGACAACAAAAGAAATTCTGATATATATATAGTATCTTTTGTTTTTTTTTTTGCATTAAGAAAAAAATAAGTATTATAAGAATGAGATCTCGTGTGAAACAATAATACTTAAAATTTTGTGAAGACACATGATTACTAAATGCAAATGCTTCATGTACTAAACATATCCAACAAAATATTAGCCTTTTGCGCTAAATCAGCGATAAAATGGTCAAAACAGAACGAACAAATGAAAAAATGAACGAACGAATATAAAAACAAGGTAATAAATCAGTGTTACCATATATATCATCGAAATCGTAGATATCTTCATACACTGCGTCAACAGGTCTGAAAATGAAATTTCAATGAAGTCAAACATTTTGAATTGCCGCATGAAAACCAACCTGCGCACGTGAAGCGCGTGTTTAAGTATAAGACCGGTACTAATTACTATCTGGCTTATTTTATGAAATAAATATGCTATTGAATTTTGTGTAAAATTATCATTAAGTACGGAAACTGCATGATCAAACCCATAGCAATCTTAATGGAAGTACATAGAATATAACTTATTGCATCATTGCATTTTATCTATGTGCCAATAATTATGAATCATATACAACTGAGTTTCGTTTGTTGTATGAAAGTGATCTTTCTTTTTTTCATAATGAAGAAGAAATAATACAATAACTCATCATTTTTACATTTTAAAAGATTAAAAACGTAAATATTGCACGAATTTTAGATAAAACTTACTTGTATTTTGTCATATTGGTATGTTTTTGATGAATTTACATCGGTAACCAAAAATGCAGCAGACAATCATCCGCAACGTCAACGTTGCTATGTCACGTGATAGCGCGTTGCCATATAATGTTTGATGACGTCGCGACGTCAGTTTCGACGTCATCTTCTCAAACAGATTAAGGAAACATACGTTTCCTCTCTAAAACGATCACCAACAAGAAAAAATTAAATACAATGTCAAATGGTACTGTATTTTCTTGAATATTTTTCCGCATCTTATCATTAAGCCAAACATGTGACACTTCGGATATCGTCATTGAGCTTAAAATACCAGTTAAGCAAATATATAGAGGCTATTAAATCTTTCAAAGTTTATCTTAATGTGCTTCTTTTTTGAGTTTTATGTTTATATCATTATGCATGTATGTCGGTCAAAAGCTATACATAGCTTATGTTTTGTAAAATGTTATATATGTATACCGACAATAAATAAATTTTGATTTTATTTGATTTGATTTGATGAGTATTTAGGTTCAATACTGAATGCTAGCCTCTAGCGAGCAAAATATTGTTTATTCAGTCGCAATATCGGCACGGGTATGTAATTATGATATGATAGAATGCTTTATGGTGAAAATATGTGAACTGTGTCATCTTTGAACACCAATTCAATTCAATTCAATACAATAATTTTACAATGCTTAAATAGCACATACAAACAGATCCAGATAAAATCACCGATTTGGATATATTATTTCGATTCTAACACGACATTAACAAATAAATGTTGCCGTACCTGATATTAAGCTAAATTGCACCTGATTTGTTTGTGTACTTATTTTCAGCGCGTCGCATTTTTAGTGGTTACGTCAAATGTATATAATCATTACGTCACGAGTCTAAATATAGAACGTCAACAGTGATTTTGTTGCATAATAACACACACTTTCGGTTCTTCTTTGTTCAATAGGGAAAAATGCGGGTCGTGTTAGAATCTTTTATTTTCTCGTTTTTATGATACATTATCATGCAGCAAAATTATAATAATATAAGACATGTAATAGTCTATTACATGTGCGCTTTATCAGCAATCAAATTACAGATGGAAAAACACGTAATCATTTTTCAATAGAGTACAACATTTTTCTTACTTTGACATCAGAGAAAGGTGTTTCTTTAGTTTAATTAAAATAATATGATTATTTATGCAAATAGATGTTTGAGTTGCGCTTCCATTTTCCTTCCATTGTTCCCTGCGGTCTGGAGACCGCAGGGTATTGGTACGCGTTTAACTTTTGAGGCATGGAGGAGCACGTGACCTGTTTTCGGTACATGGAGGAGCATGTGATCTGTAAACCGTATATGATTGGTTAATTGACCTTTTCGAAAACCCAGCTAAATACCGTTTGCCGGTACGTTACAGATTTACCTGTAGGGAATTAGTCCGAATTAACAAAAATCTATTACGTGATATTTCTAATTTTCTATAATTATTTTACCGTTTAAGGTGGAAAAACTTGAACGATGTCTTTGAAAATTATCAATGTTTCTTCAATATCTATCTCAAATTTTACAAACAATAAATTGTTTATACTGAAAATCTACAAAATTAAAATATTCGTAGTGGCATCTGCCATAATAAATAGAGATGTTTTCTGCGTAAACTTGTGTGTTTACTTTATTTATTTTTTGCTCGGAATTATTCATAAAATGGTAAGCCTATTGAATCATTTTCTTAAAAAGAAATAATTGTTTTATGTTCGACCTTCTCCGGTCTTCAATGGTCACATACAGTTTCCAAAGACCTTCTTCTATATTGTTCGATTATGGTCAACTATGTTCCTGTTACAAACGTTTATTCGTTTATTTATTCCCCCCCCCCCCCAAATAATGTTGAAAATAGTTAAATGAAATATTTTTATATTATTAAAATGTTCACCGCAGGAAACCATTTTACTTGTAATTCCTTTGTTAGAATAGTTGAATAGTTTACGTTCAACCTGGGACTTAAAAGATCTTGAGTTTGAGGTTTAACAACAAACATATAAAATAAATTCCCGTAAAGATTAACAGAACCTGCTTCTTAAATATGAAAAACAATCTCAGTTTTGAATGTCACTGTGTTATATTACCATAGTGAGAACAACAATTCATACTTGTATCATAGTTTGGGGACCTTTCTGTTGAAAAAGTGTCAGAGTTCAGTCGTATACGTATACAGTCATGTAGTGCGTTAACTGGAGTGAGTGCAGTTTTAGTTACCCGCACTCGAAAGCATGTCCATTGATTGGTTCATTTTTTCTGGGGTTTACTTATTGTAACGACAGTGAAAGGGATAACGATAGAAATGTCATATTTAGAGCGCTCCCTTCCCAGCTCACTGAATACACTCACGCTGCTTCAGATAGAAGAATGTTTGACTGATGCTCAGGAGAGTACATATTTAGATGCTCGTTTTTTTTGGTACTTTTTTCTGGGGTTTCATATTGCGACAACAGGGAACGTGTTTTCATTTTTGCCTATGATACAAAAGAGTTTCATATTGCGACAAAAGGGAACGTGTTTTTATTTTTGCCTATGATACAAAAGAGTTTCATATTGCGACAAATGGGAACGTGTTTTTATTTTTGCCTATAATACAAAAGAGTTTCATATTGCGACAAAAGGGAACGTGTTTTTATTTTTGCCTATGATACAAAAGAGTTTCATATTGCGACAACGGGGAACGTGATTTTATTTTTGCCTGTGATACAAAAGAGTTTCATATTGCGACAACAGGGAACGTGTTTTTTCATTTTTGCCTATGATACAAAAGAGTTCCATATTGCGACAACAGGAAATGTGTTTTTATTTTGCCTCTGATACAAAAGAGTTTCATATTGCAGAAACAGGGAACGTGTTTTTATTTTTGCCTATGATACAAAAGAGTTTCATATTGCGACAACAGGGAACGTGTTTTTATTTTTGCCTATGATACAAAAGAGTTTCATATTGCGACAAAAGGGAACGTGTTTTTATTTTTGCCTATGATACAAAAGAGCTTTTGTACACCAATAGCTACAATGATATTCTTATAAACCGTGCGCATATTTGATATATCTTACAAGAAAAGCATTGATGCAAAGCATCAAAGGGTGTCCAAGCAAGAAATTCAGCATGTAGACATCTTATGACCAGATATTCTTATAAACTTTTCGATGGTTAATTGCTTTTTACCAGAATTATATATCAGCCGATAGACGTTGTTCATGGTATGTGATTTCAAAAATGGTATATACTTAAAGAATATGAAAAAGGTAACAGAAATATTTTATGGATTTTTTTGGTTGAAAATATGGAAAAATATACTGAAAAACATAACAAAAGGAAAAACGATTTTTCAGACGTATGTATAAGTTACCTGCCCCTGAGATTACCCCCAAATAAGTGGCTTGCCCGGCTATAGACTACACGTGAATATCAAATAAAAAACAATTATATATGGATATAGAATTCTATACCTATCAATGAAAATTTCAGTGTCAGTTCTAGCTAGGCGCCGTTAAACGTTTTAATAGCCAGAGCAACAGAAATAAATTAGGGTAGATGTGATATATAGGCGCTGCATTTTGAACAATCTTATGAATAATTTTTATTTTCTACTTTTGCAATGTGTTGTTGTTTTTTTTTTCTATTTTAATCTGATGCTGATTTTTTTTAAAAATAAGTCAATGTTCATGTATTTTGCTTTTTTGTTCACATTTGTTACAATGTCACGAATGTGTTTCCTATTCTAATTAAAAATCTGGGACCAAAAATATATTATTGTTCCAGTTAAAATATACAAACCAGGGTATGAACGTTTTAAAACTAACGCAAATGAACGTTATTGCTATGACGAAACTGGTAATATCTTTTTCTAAATTTAAATACTATTTGATGCACGTTATCTTCCGTGCAAGATTTCAGATTATTCGCTCACTCCATTTTTCCAGTATAAGTGCAAAATGACCCAAAAATGAAAAGCGGTTAAAGGCTTTTACCCAAATCGGACAAGAATTACACAAAATCGCGGATTTATATATTACATTGTAATTAAGATCCTTGACAAAATAGAATTTATATCTAAATCAAATCTGAGTACATATATTTATTATATACCTATAAATGGAATATTGAGAAATATTGATGAAATAAAACGCTTATTTTCATTTTCGTACTTTCACTGTAAAAAGTATTTTAGTGAAACATATTTTCTGTGTTTTCACTGGTGTCTTGCCGGACTTCTCTCTTTTTTTAAATTCTGCCAGTACACAAAATTTAAGGAATAGACTTCCAAATTGTAATTTAAAACAAACTTATATATTATAAACCGTTTTTAACTTTAAGGTCCCAGCTTCTTTCAATATTTCATTTTGATACCACTTCCAATTGCTCTTGCGTCTTAATTCTCGAATGACGAATCAAAACTGTTTCGCGCATGTCACGTGATGGTGGGCCAACCACGTTAACTTTTTGGTCCTTCCAAATTATCCAGGCGGGCAACAATAGTTTCATATAAATACATAGCAAATTAAATCGTGTGACTGAAAAGAGATCGGAAAATGTTTTGCTGGCGTCTTTAACGGATTTGTTTAGTAAAGTTTTTTTGGTGAGAATCAATCAGTGGTTAAACATACAAGATTGTCCCCGAGCGCTCAAGATTCATGGTCGAGTGATTTTCCATGCACTTTACTGTTACCTACACTTGCGTGAAGTTTGTGAGAGGGATGTGACGGAATCAAAAGTATGGCAGGTTTGGAATTGTTTCTTTTATTTTAGGACGTCGAAGAACTTAGGATCAATCAAAAATGTAAGTTATTCTATATTTCATTAATAAAAACTATATAGCCGAAACGTAATATTATTACACATGAAAATCGGGAAAGCGTTACTGTTTTTTTTTAAGGAAAAAAAATGTAAATATTTCACAGAAAATCCGGGAAATGTTATTGTATCACATAAAATTTGTAAATTATCAAATATTTTTCGTAGGTATTTGTTTGACACAAAGTTAAATTTTTCATGAATAAGGACTTTAATTATAAATAAGCATTAATCATAAGGACTTTTAATTTTTCATGTGACGTTTCGATCATAGTTAACGGTATTTTTGACCATTATGATAATTGGCTTATGATAATAAACAAAATACAGATATGAATAATTGATAGTTGGCATATGAGGTCTTACAAAGTATTGACACGGATGATTGACGTGTGATATGTAAAATGATGGCCATGTTGATGACAATGTTGTTTTGATGAGGACGTTCATGGGTGTTACAATGATGATGAAATGAAGTTGTTCAAGTGGGCATCAGGTAAATCTAGTTATTTATAGAAACGAGCTTTTTTAGAAACTAGTTATTTTTAGACAAATGAGTTTTAACTTTTCTTCGTAAGTTTTATCAGTTTCAGAAGATGAACCAATGAACTTGCAAGTAATCATACTATATCGGGCCATGTTTGTGGAACAAGGACAGCACACATTATGCAACGTTAAAACAGCATACTTATTTAATTCAATTTACATTTGGAAAATTTGACATTATAACAAAATTTGATATACATATAAACATGTAAATGGTATTATGTCAAAATTTTATTTTAGAAATGAAGATTTTTTGTCAAAATTGAAAACTATGTTTTATGTTTATGTATATTGACGATATTTTGTGTGCATTGTTTATATCGATTTTGGTTGTTTTGGTTTCTTTCTCAAATTTTTGGAGTTGGTGTGTGATTGGGGTTATTCGATTTGGGTTCGGTGTTTTAGTTTGCCTCTTTGTGGGAGTTGTTTATGTGTGTTATGGTAGTTTTTCTTTGTCTTTGTTGGAGTTTTTAATGTCATTTGTGTGTTATGGTTGTTTTTCTTTGTCGAAAATTCAGGCCTTATTTCTGAATAGTTTGGGAATTGGTGGTCGATAAGACAGTTGATTCTTTGCAAATACATTGTGATCGGTTTGAAAATTTTGGATTTTGGATTTTGTTATACATGTACATGTACTAGTCAAATTATTATTATTCATCATTTCAAATAGAAATATATCAATTTCATTAGAAATGGGAGACATATTTATAGTTATATTGAATTTTTAGCTGTACAATACCCAATTTTGTATAATTATATGAGCCGCGTCATGACAAAACCAAAATAGTGTGTCTGCGACCAGCATGGATCCTGACCAGCCTGCGCATCCGCGCAGTCTGACCAGGATCCGTGGTGTTCGCTTGCAAACTCTATTACAAGTAGAGAAACTGAACGCGAATAGCATGGATCCTGATCAGATTGCGCGGATGCGCAGGCTGGTCTGGGTCCATGCTGGCCGCAAACCCATTATGTTGGTTTTGTCATGACGCGGCTCATATTGATGTTTAATAGTAATGTGATATTTTTGATAATTATATTAAAACATAGGTGGAGAATGCGACAATATATTAAAGATAACATTGATTCTTTTAGATTTAGAACGTGACATTTCTAATAATGATATTTGGGTGTTGAATGCGACATTTTTAACAATTATATATACTGATTATTTTAGATGCAGAATGCGACATTTTAGACTAGTATAATATTATTGTTCTTTGGTTTTTCGTTTGTTTTCAGATGACGTAAGAAAACATCACTGGATTACTTTTGAAAGACAAAACTAGATAAAATTGTATATTTCTAAATATTACCACTATATAATTCAGACTATTGAAAAAAATGTTTATTGATCATTTAGCAGAGTAAAGCAGGAAATGGCGGGAAGAATCCTAGCAGACGACAGTTGTCGCGCAGACTGCCCGAAATTACAGGCTGACCCAGAACTATACTGGACTCGCTTTCAGCAGAAAGGAAATCATAACTTTGTAACGTATGTCTTGTCTACTTTTTTAAAAATAAACTTTCGTGTCAATGTAATAAATAAGTTGACATATCATTATTGTTTCATAGTGAATCATTTTTAGCCGAACTGTTTGAAAAACGAGTAAGGGCTATTTTAGTCACTTGGTCGTCTGTTCTCGTAAAACACTTCGTTTTGCATATGTTTTGTGTGTAACTTCCTACCTCAGAATTCATTATGATTGTGTAACGGGGAACATAATCTAAACACGTTTAACTTTAAACTAGATTTTGATTTATATAATTACATGTATGCCACTTAGTCAACTTGATTTAAAGCAGTCATGTTTAAAATAATAATTTAAGTTTACAATATATTCTTATCGAATGAGCATAATAATGCTGAGTTATGGGTCATTAAGAACATTTCAGTAATTTAAACAAATAACTTACAATTATTTTTAAAATGCTAAAAAAAGACCATGTTACCAATAGTGTATCCACAGGTAGCAGACGACAATAAATTTTAAAGTGGAAATTTGCGACTTCCGGTGTGTCTGCTACTCGATGTTGTGATCTCAGTTACTTCCCCTGACGTTCAGTATATGAAATGAGGGTCGAGGTAAGATATTTTGAAGAAATACAAAATTTAGCTAAACATAGAACAATACATTTTACAGATAAGGGTTTGTGAGTCGCTGATTACACCTTTAACTCTGCAAAATATTTTAAATGGACTTGCCCATCTTCAAATCTGGACAAAACCATTACTCATTTTAAGGGAAAATTTCAAAATATGTACTGACTTAATATCGAAAAGTGCAGATCATGAGCAGATGTCAAGGATATGCCGACTGATTTTGGTCTGCACAGGTCGCACGGGTACATGTATATTATGTTGGCACTAGAAGGCTGAGAGTTAATCAACATATTTATCATAGTTTGGAGACCTTTCTGTTGAAAATATTTGTCAGAGTTAAATTGCATACATATACATGCACAGTGCGGTAACTGGTGTGCAGGTATCAGTTACCCGCACTCCAGAGCATGCCCATTGATTGGTTCATTTTTGCTGGGGTTTACTTATTGTGACGGCAGAGAAAGGGAAAGCGACAGAAATATCATATTCAGATGCTCGTTCATTGGTTACTTTTTTCTGGGGTTTCATATTGTGACAACAGGGAACGTGTTTTTATGTTTGACTATGATACAAAAGAGAAAGAACATCAAAACACTCGGCAATCTGATTAATACTCGGGGGCTACGCCCCCTCGTACAAATCAGATAGCCTCGTGTTTCGATGCTCTTTCTATTACTTGTACTACACATAACAAGTAAAATGGTTTCCTGCAGGGAACCTTTTTAATGATATAAAGATATTTCATTTAACTATTTTCAACATTGTTTTGGGAGAGGGGAATAAATAAACGTTTGTATCAGGAATATAGTTGACACTAATCGATCAATATAGAAGAAGGTCTTTGGAAACTGGTGACCGTTGATGACCGGAGAAGGTCGAACATAAAACAATTATTTCTTTTAAATAGGCCTACCATTTTATGAATAATTCTAACAAAAAAAATTAAAGTAAACACACAAGTTTACGCAGAAAATATCTCTATTAATTATGGCAGATGCCACTACGAATATTTTAATTTTGTGGATTTTCAGTATAAACAATTTATTGTTTGTAAAATTTGAGATACATATATTAAAGAAACAATGATAATTTTCAAATACATCATTCAAGTTTTTCCACCTTAAACGGTAAAATAATTATAAAAAATTAGAAATATCACGTAATAGTTTTTTGTTCTTAATTAGGTGTAATTCTGACTAATTCCCTAGAGGTAATTCCGTAACGTACCGACAAACGGTATTTAGCCAGGTTTTTGAAAAGGTCAATTAACCAATCGTGTACGGTTTACAGATCACATGCTCCTCCATGTACCGAAAACAGGTCACGTGCTCCTCAATGCCTCAAAAGTTAAACGCTTACCAATACCCTGCGGTCTCCAGACCGCAGGGAATAATCAGAAAGTACTGATTACAGTTCATTAATAATAACAACTTTTAATTTGGTACAATGTTTGTATTTTGAAAGCATGTTAATTTCAGATGGAACATGACTTTTTGTAATTATTGTTGCTTTTCTAGAAAAAAAATGAACTGAACATAATATAAAGAACTATTCTTTCCGAGATCACTCGCTTCCTTAAAGTATTACAATCTAAATACAAAAAAATATACATTCAATAACTAAATTCACGAATAGGTAAAAGATATCGGCACTACATTAGTGATTGTGCCGAAGGAAGGGAGATAATTATGAATGTATTACAAATAAGGGAGATAAAAATATCTCTTATTATAATTATACTATAAAATATCATAATTATTTCTAATGCATAATGTGTATTTTGTAATGAACTGGTGACTTTGATTGTGGCACTCCGATAACATCTTAATTTTCAATCTATAAATAGATAATTTTTTTAACCTATATTTCAGTTTCAGGATTTGAAATTAAGAAAGAACGAAAGATATGAAATGAGCACCGGCAAACTGATCTTGGCATGTTACATCCTTATCACAGAACTGGAACCTACTGATTATGATGAGGTAATAGTATATTTTATGAATATATGTATAGATTTGTTTCTTAGCCTGCTGAAAGCGAAAGTCATTAGTCTTTGCCTCCAGAATAGAGCCCGGCCAGCCTGCACATTTGTGCAGTTTGACCAGCCTCTTTACTGTTTGCTAACTTCCAATTTTCATTTTCATGTGATAATTAGTTATAATAATTTATAATGGACTGTTCCTTAAATAAAATGTTGAAAAGTCCATTTAATAATTTCCGCAGGTTAAAGCAGCATCTATCTAGATTCATGCCCATTCTTCATGTAAATTTTGAAAATGTATCAACAGCATTTACAGTCTACTTAAATTATCAAAAAAGGCCAAAATATACAATAATAGCCATTACCGCGTTAGTCACGCAGTAGAAATATGGTAATAAGAACTGCGACTTCGGTCGTTAAAGACATTTAGCGCATAAATAATCACTTGAATCTCAAATCTTTTTACTTCTCTTAAAATCTGAGTACATTTTTCTTAAGTTTGTTTTTCTTGAAATTTTTTTGGTTCACCTGCAGGCGTGCAGCTTTAAGGCTTGTTTATAGCTCTTGAATGAGACGTGTATTCATTTGGTTCTGAAACAGTACGGCATTGTTAAATTTTTCCATGTTCGGGTTTGATAAAAAAAAATTCTTTGCTTAAAGCCCGTCTCACACAAAACACGGTTGGACACACGATTCCCATACGGTATACTCGGTTATACACGGGTTGACTGGTACGAGTTTTGAGCTTCAACCGTGCTTGTGGTTTAGTTGCCACGAATTAGACTCGAATATAGCACGAGTATGTACGAATTGAGCACGGATATACTCGGTCAAGCAAGGTTTGAACACGATTTGCATACGAATACATACGACTGTTGTACGGTTCCAAGTACGGTCTAGTACGGTCTGGTACGATTAAACACGACTTTTACTCGATTGACTCGACTTTCACAGGGTTTACATAGGGTCCCACCGACTTTTGTTCGAGTAAGGCTCGAAATATCACACATTTGTGTATGTTTTGATATAAATTAACCCATTTTGATGACTTGGCTTCATGAACTTTCGAAATTTCAACGAAGAACACTTATATATAGATCATTATAATACTGCACGTTTGTAACGTCGCTTTTCGTTTGATAATCGTGACGTTTATATATTTTTATATATATATATGTCGATTTATAAAAAAATCTCGCTTTATTCCTCTAAAAATGATGCTTGCTGTATTATAAATTCGTTATAAAGATTGTTGACAGGTTATATGGCCTTATATAAACGGCTGTTTGCAATATAATCCTCGCCTAGCGGCTCGGGTTATATTTACAAACAGCCGTTTATATAAGGCCATATAACCTGTCAACAATCTTTATAACTAATATTTACATCAATAAATGAATAAAAAGGTGAAGCAATGTAAAATGAATGTGTCTTTTTTCTGTTGTGCAGCGGTTGCTGGAGGGTCCACCGAGCTGGCATTGGAGTCTGAATCCCTGGGAGACACGGTTATTGCCGGTTGGTCCTCCAGCTTATCAGGGTCAATAAGTTGGAGTGGTCGGTGGGCCTGGATGGCTCTTCTTGTATTCCTTCTATGCGTCCAAAACTTCTTCTTTGGATACATTCTAGTGTGATGCAGCAAGCACTCTTGGTAGGGTGGCAGCAGGTAGTTGTGTTTTTTGTACCGTTCTTGCTGACGTAGAGGCCGTGTTAGACCGTACGAGGCCGTGTGAGACCCTGTATACCCGTACTTTACCGTGTCGGCCATGTATGTTTCGTATATGAACCGTATTGGTCGTATGGCGATCGTATGAAACCGTGTGTGCACTCGTTTGATTCGTACCGTGATCTTGTGACATTCGGCTGTTCATCGGGTGTTGGATGTAGGACTTTGGGACGGTCTCGAACGATTCCATACGATTTATAAACGACCTTGATACGGTTGGGCTCACTCGTGGAGTGAACTTCACATACGGCTGTATATACGGTCTCATACGGTCTCACACGGTCTCTTACGGTCTTGTACGGTCGCTTATACGGTCATACACGGACATGACATCCGTACCATTTTTTTAAAAGTTTTAAAAATCATACACGGCTTACACGGATACACTCGAATGGCCCGAGTGTAACTCGGATAACGCTACGGTTAGTTCGGTTGTATGTACGGTTTCCACGGGTGGCCAACCGTGTAAGCCGTGTGTCCTGTGTGAGATGGGCTTAACACAGAAGCAGTAACCGTTGTTGTTGTTATTCAGTCATGAATTGCTTTGGCTAAGTGAATACATATAGACCTACACTGGTATCGAACATTTTTCTTCATTATTCAAATTTGATAATACGTTTGTAAGTTTTAGTTCCGTCACCGAGTGATTGAATGAATTCATTGACTTCAAATAATCCCCCCCGCCCCCTTTCTTTCACTATTATGGACAGCGACTTTGAATTCATGAATAGTTTCATGTGCAGAGATGATCCACAGAGGTGATCCACAGCTAGCTTAATTGGCAGAGAAAATTGGTGGTTCTACTCGAGTGCCCCAACGTGTCTAAAATATTTTTTAGAGGGCTATGTTGGACTTTCTTCCGCCAGTAAAGCTGAAAAAGTATTATTGTACCGTCGAGACAGTAACAATTCGACTACTTAATTAGTGTAATGGATCTGCCCTGCATTGAATTTGAAACTGTCCATTTGGAGTTTATGGGATTTCAATAACAAAATACAAATTTTGGCAGACGATAATATATAGCCTTGGCACGGAGTGCACGGGCCAATAGGTAAAGTGTTAAACCCAACCAGAATAATTGAACCATTGCAGTTAAGAATATACTAGAAATAATAAGAGAATCGTTTAATGACATCAAGTGAATAAAAGCTTTATGACCACTATTTGAGTAAGACGTAATTATTTGTTTATTGTATTCCTGAATTCTATTATGTGCATTTTTTAATAAGAGTATTGATAACATTGTTGTTTTTTTTTAATTTGGTGGTTCAACCCGTGCGTCTGCTGTCTTTTGCAAGTGAAACGCAAAGTGTTACAAGTGATATGAATATTTTATACATTATACAAGTTAAATGTTGATGCTGCACATCAAAGACGCCGCCAAATGATGTGAACAGTCAATCAGCATTGAAAATCGTTCTCTATTACAGTTGAATATCCGAAGCACAAATCAATTTTTTCTCCATGTTCTTGGTATGTGCTCGTTGTTTAATAATTAAGTTGCATATTTTTGTGAAAAAGTAGAACCTAATGCATAAATTCACAAGGTAATGCCATGTCTGAAATTCTGAAATGTTTGTCTGTTGCGACAAAGATTGAAACGTCTGGTCAAAGCAAAATAAATCTTTGTTCATTTTTTTCTGAAGAGTTATTTCTTAAACAGTTTGTTTGCTGGTATTAAGGTGTGCAGCTTTAAAAAGGCCCATTATGCCAAAAAAAATGTTTTTATTTTTATATCTGAAAAGCTTTTTATTTTTGGTATCCTATTATAGTTTCAAAACAGATATTCATTGGTCATTTATCTGAATAATCTTTTGCTTTTTGAAAACAGTTTTAATGATTTAGTATTTTGTGTGGAAGTTAAAATACTACTGTGTTTACAGTTTGCGACCTTTAAAACAAATATTTTCACATTCAGCCATACTTTATTTTGCTAATAAGCATCTAACATGCTTTAAAGCATTATTTGAACGTTATAATACCCATGTTTGCACTGCCTAATGTAGGAAAAAATTATTAATTTCTGAGGCATAATGTGCCTTTAAGGAAAAACAGTTGATTCTAAGTTGAATATAATTTTTACAATGCAGGTGTATCGGTGATCAATACGGAACATGGTAAATTGAGCAGGTGAAGGAATGAAGAAAACACCACCCTCTTTACAGTCAGCAAAATAACTATGCTTCCGGTTTGGAACTACTGCATGCCGTTACAACATATGTGACAAAGAGATTTTAATCCACCTGATACGATTTGGTATCTTTCTGAAAATGTCATGTTCAAATTCTGAATGGTGTTTTTTTCTGCCAAGTTTAAGAAATATATTACCATGTAACTGTCTAATATTTATGGCAATTATGAAGTAATAGTGAGTTTTTGGCGTAGTAATAAAAACCATAAAAGGTGTTACCTCGATTGGATTTTCTACATGAGCTTGAAAAAATAACACCTTCATGAATGCCTTGATGTGAACAGAATAGAAGGGATATTTTATTTGCTTTTTACATTGTACATCTTCTATTTAACATACTGTACCGTCAATGAATTGAAATTGCAATAATGAGTATAATTGCAATAATGAATAATGCACTTTTTTGCAATGTATATTTCAAGTGGTGTAATAAGTAAAATTTGATCAGGAATGCACATTTATTAAGACTTAATATATATGCAAACATACTGTACCGTTAACATAATAGCAAAAGTAAAATTGCAGAAATGAATGATGCGCATTTTTTACAATGTAGATTTCAAGAAGTGTAATAAGTAACATTTAATAGTTAATAAAGACATACTAGGCCGTACAATGAGAAATAATGATAATTTAACAACGTCTTGATAGAAACATCCATTTGAAATTTCTTAAGATTTAGATGATAATAATAACACCAAGAATATTACCAACATAACAACATTAATGAAACATAATAAAAATTCCAACGATGAAATATTTCATCATTCAAAAACATGCAATGATGAAAAAATATAATAAAATATTAAAAGAATTGTAATAACGACCAGAAGAGCAATAATGAAATAAAAGAATGAAATAACAATATGAATGAAATAAAATAAAAAACATTAAAATGAAATAAACAATAATGAAATAAAATGAAAACAAAAATAATGAAATAAGATAAAATAGAAACAATAAAATAAAAGTAAACAAAAAATGAAAATAAAAAATGAAAATAAGGTAACAAGAAATGGAATGAAAGAATATTATTGTCACAAGTGACCATTTAGTTGTTTACCTATAACATGCTTGACCTTAAAGTGACCAGCCTTTGCCACCAGTATGCAGCCAGACCAACCTGCACGTCCGTTCAGATTGACCAGGCTCTAAACCGTTGGCTGACCAATTTCAAATTTGATTTTATTCAAGTTATATTCCCTAAATTGAGAATGAACGTATTCAGAAACGGAAGCTGGACAAGTCCGCTTCCGATAATATTATCAACCATATACATGATATAATGTGTTCCTTTATATTTTGAAGTATCATTTGTTTCATTTTTTATCTTTTAAATGCTTTAAATAAGGAGTCACAAAGGGTTACTTTATCATTTTCATTTCCAAGCATATCCTCGTGCGTTTCATCGCCGGATAGCCACTGATAAACACTAACATCTATCTTGATTACATGTTAATCAACCGTGAGTATCCGACGATGCATGCGTTTATGCTTTTTTTTTGTTGTTGATTTTTAGCTCGACTTTTCTATGAAAAGGGGAGCTATCCTACTCGCCCCGGCGTCGGCGTTGGCGTCACACCTTGGTTAAGTTTTTCGTACCACCCCACTTTATTTCAGAAGTATTACAAGTATGGCTTTGAAACTTACCATACTTGTTCACCATCATAACCTCCATCTACAGACAAGAGTACATAACTCTGTCAAGGTTTTTGACAGAATTATGGCCCTTTTTTGACTTAGAAAGTGTATTGAGCTTGGTTAAGTTTTTTGTACCACCTCACTTTATTTCAAAACCATTGGAGGTATTGCTTTGAAACTGACCATACTTGTTTACCATCACGACCTTCATCAACAGACAAGAGGACATAACTCTGTCAAGGTTTTTGACAGAATTATGCCCCTTTTTGACTTAGAAAATACATTGAATATGGGTAAAATCCACTTATTGCCTTAACCCTTTGAGATATTGCTTTGAAACTTTTAATGCTATTTCACATCATTACCCCCATCTGTACGCAAGAGAAGGTAACTCTGTCAAGGATTTGTTTTAAAAATTAAGGCCTTTTATCGACTTAGAATCTTGGTTAAGTTTTTAGTACCAGTCCACTTTTTGACTGAACTGTTTGAGATATTAATTTGAAAGTTGGAATACTTGTTTACAATCATGATTCCCAAACATGTCCAGGAGAAGGTAATTCTGTCAAAGATTTTATTTGAATTATGGCCCTTAACTTCAATGTTTTGTATTATAGGCAAGCACTAAAAAACTTAAAAAATCTAAAAAAATTCATTCCTATCCACTTGTTGACCTAACCATTTGAGATATTACTTTGGAAGTTGGAGTTCTTATGTGCCATCATGAGACCTATCTGTAAGCAAGAGAAGATAACTCTGTGAAAATGTTTCTTGATTTGTACTTAGAAATTCCTAGTTAAAGTCTTGTGTGCCCTTAACTGTCAAAGTTTTGTTTTATAGGCAAGCACTAAAAAAGTCGAGCGCGCTGTCCTTCTGACAGCTCTTGTTTTATTGTTGTTTTCAGTTTTTATATGATCTGACAAAAAGTTAAAAAAGGGGGTGGGGGCTAGCATCATTTAGCTTTTTTGTTCGCTTTTGATACGTTATTCTATCAATTTTTTAACTTTACTTGCCTGTTTTAATTTTTTAAAGTTTTTTTTAAAATTAATTAATTAATTAATTATTTATTTACTTATTTATTTATTTATTTTTTTATTTATTTATTTATTTATTGTTTTGCAAATTACATCAAGCGAAAAGGGAGGCTACTTGTTTTAAAATACAGATTGATCTCCCCTGAAAATTCAAATGATAAGAACGGACCAAAGGAGACTTCTCTTCATTAAAACAAGTATAAAATGATAAAAAAGTCGTTTTCCCGTCAGTTTACACTCCATTACCACTTGTTATTTTTTCTAACTGATAACTCTCACACATCTTCGGCACTAACATTAACTTTTGGGGAAAATGACTTTCATAATGCTACTGTAAAACTTCCAACAAATATCAATCAAAAGTAATAACATTTGGTTGTGAAAATTTAGCCGCAAAAGGCATAATGTTTAATTATCAATAGGGAGAGAAGTCGCCTTTTGGTCCAATTTTCAGGGGTGGTTACACCGTTACTTAATTAAGAATGGTCTCCCTTTGGTCATACTTGCTTTTACAAATTCTTCTGCAATATTAAATTTAACATCAAAAACAATTTAAAGGAACACACTATAGTCAAAATTGGATACTTCCTTTTTTACAAGTATACAGAAACTTGAAATATTTCAACAAATTTTAGGGTAGATTTAATGCTTTTGATTAGAAATTTTTTACTTTTAACAAAAAAATAGAAAACTATAGACCCTTTTACTTTAATATTAATATATTAAAATATGCTATATTTTACTTATAGAATCACGTTTAGCTCGACATATTCTGTATATATTAGTAGTACTATTGGCATTTCACCGAAGCTCGCATTACCGTCAGCGTGGCGTTCGTGCGTAAACTTAATTGTTAAAGTTTTTGTAATAGTTCAAATATTTTCAAATTCATTGACATATGTTTGAAACTTTGACATGTTCAAAAATCATAGATACTGAAAATGAAATAGGCGTAATGGTTACTCTAATCAAAGCATTTTAGAATTATGCCCCTTTTAAACTTAGTAATTTAGTTTAAGTTTTTTGTAATAGTTAAATATTTTCAAAAAGATTCCATTGACATAGAAACTTTGCAACTTGTTCCCATCATGACCTCCAACCTGTAGAAGTGAAAAAAGGACTCTATCAAACATTTTTGAAAATTTCCCTTTTTAACTTAGATTTTTCCTAATTTTTTTAGTTTTAATTTTTCCCAAAGTCAATTGACTTTTGGTTTTGAAAATTTTACAAACCCCTTTTTACCCTCATGACCCAACCGTAGACAGGGAGGTAACTTATCAAGTATTTTTTACAGAATTATGCCCTTTTTCACTTAGAATTTACGTTAAGTTTTTGTAAAAGTTTAAAAAATTTTCAAAGTCCATTGACATATGGTTTTTAAACTTTGCACATTTTTAACCCTCTGGCCCCAACCGTAACGGGGGGTAACCTTCAAGATTTTTACGAATTTTGCCCCTTTTTCGACTAGAATTTACTTAAAGTTTTTTTAATAGTTCAAAAATTTCAAAGTCCCTTGCATATGGGGTTTGAAACTTTTTCACACTTGTTCAACATCATGACCCAACCTGTAAACAGGAGGAGGGAACTGTATCAGGGATTTTTTTTTACTATCAAAACACTAAGAATGTCGAGCATGCTGTCCTACCGAAGCTCTTTTTCAAATATTATTTAAAAATTGGGTTAATTTTTGTCACGGGTAAAAAGGGGTAAACCCCTAAAATTTTTATACTAGTTTATTAATCTGGAAATATTTTAAAAACAAATTTTACATTTTAAACTGTCTTGTATTTAAACTTCTTTGCTTTGTTTAAAATTTTTAAAAAAAATTTACCAAG